GACTGCGAATGCCCACGCCAGCGAAGTGAGGCCGAGCGGAGAGAACTGCGACAGCCGCGGCGCCGCCTCGGCGGCAATGGCGTCGAAGAGTTCAGGCGCCGCGTGCCCCGCCGACGCAAACGCCCACGCGGTGTTGGCGAGGCCCTGCGGGTCGAATTCGGCCAGCCGCGGCGCCGCGGCCTCGGAGAGCGCATTAAAGAGGGCGGGCGCGCTGCGGCGCGCCTTCGCAAACGCCCACGCGGTGTTGGCCAGCTCCTGCGGCTTGAAGCCGCCGACGCCGCGGCGCGCCACCTCCGCAGCGAGCGCGTCGAAGAGCAGAGGCACGGGGGCGGCCGACGGCTTGCCTCTGCAGCTGCCCGCCGCGCCGTCGGCCGCACACGCCCATGCGAGGATGGAGAGCTCCTGCGGCTTGAACTGCGACAGCCGCGGCGCCGCCTCGGCGGCGATGGCGTCGAAGAGTTCAGGCGCCGCGTGCCCCGCCGTCGCGTACGCCCACGCGGTGTTGGCGAGGCCCTGCGGGGAGAAGGCGTCCAGGGAGAGCAGAGACCGACCAGAGAGCGCGTCGAAGAGTGCGGGCGCCGCATGCGCCACCTTCGCAAACGCCCACGCGGTGTTGGCCAGCTCCTGCGGCTTGAAGCCGCCGACGCCGCGGCGCGCCACCTCCGCAGCGAGCGCGTCGAAGAGCTCCGGCGCGGGCTTGCCAGCCTTGGCGAAGGCCCAAGCCATGTTGCTCATGTCCTGCGCGTTGAACTCTGCGACGCGCGCCGTCCCCTCCGCCGCGACCGAATCGAACAGGCGATGTGGCGCGTGCCCCACCGTCGCGCTCGCCCACACCAGGTTGCACAGGCCCTGCGGCGCAAAGTCGGCGAGGTGCGGCCGCGCGGCGGTGGCGATGGCGTCGAGGAGGGCGACAGGCTGCCGCCCGCCCGCCGCCGACGCCCACGCCGCCGACGCCCACGCCGCGCGCGCGAGTCGCTTGGCGGTGATGTCCTTCTCTCCGCCTCCGCCACCGCCGCCGACGGCGGTGTCGCCTCCCCCTTCTCCGCCTCCGCCTCCGAGCCACGGGCCGGATGCTCCGTGGAGCGCGTCGAGCAGCGCAGCCTCGGTCGCGCCCCAGAGCTGCTCGGCCGGCGTCTCGCGGACCCGCAGCCGCGCGAGGTTGCACAGCAGCTGAATGCACTGCGCCGGAGACCAGTCCGCCACCGACGCCGCGCTGTCGCGGCAGAGCGCGCGGAAGGCGGGGCCCGACAGAGCGGCCCGGCGCTGCCGTAGAGGCTGGCGGCTGTGCCCGAGGTTGTTCCAGCAGGCGCGGAGGTGGGACGCGGTGAGGTGGCCGCGCCACCGCGAGTGCAGCCCGAGCAGGTCCTGCACGCTCCCAGAGGCCAGCAGCTGCGCCTCGAGCTGCTGCAAGCCGTGCGGCGGCGGCGGCGGGCTGCGGTGACGGCCATCGGACCCGCGGCCAGCCCGTCGCGCGCCAGCGGCGTCGCGCGGAGCGCCGGCCGCACCGCGGGCTGCCGGGCGGCGGTCAGCGGCTCTATGCGCTGCGTGGCTACCGGCGCTGGGAACCTCGCTGATCGCCGCTCGTGTCGCCAAAGTGCGCAGTAGTGCCGACCGAGCACGGGCGCGTAGCGATTGGCGGCATAGCATGGTGCACGCCGCCTCCTTGTCCGAGAGCGTCGAACCCGAGAGCGTCGAGCGTCGAACCGAGAGCGTCGAAGCGAGAGCGAACCCTCCCAACTCCCGCGCGATCGCCCTCGCGACTCAAGGGTGCGTGACCGCCGTGAGCTGACCCAAGTAAATAACGGGAGCAGAGTCAGGTGAGCTCCCCGGCCCTGGATGTGAGGTTGATAACTGCACTCCAAGTGCTCCAAGTCAGGTTAGTTGATTGTACACGTACATCAAGAGAGTACTCTCGTATCGTCACAACTCTCTCGCGTACTGTTACGAGCTGAGCTGGACCTCATCACAGACGGTGGTAGAGGTGCCCAAGGAACCAGACTCGCGGGTCACGAAGACACCACGACGCTCCCGAGGGGGCGGCTGCTGCCTCCCACGTGTCGGCATGTCGACGTAGAAATGTACATGGTAGCGGGTGGGGAGCTATCCTCTGGGCCGGCGCGGGGCCCCCCGGAGGCACCGTGCGCCGCGCCGCAGTGCGGAAACGGGGCCCCGGCGCTCATACTCGCTCATACCACCAACTTCCCGAATGATTACGGTTGATTAGAGGGCAGATTCGGAGAGATCTCGAGGAGTACATACAGATAGACCCTCCAACCATCAGAAAACTCCGACCTGATCGGTCGTACTGACCGCCGACAGATCACTCCGGACAGCAGACAGGCCGACGTCTGCACGCGGCCGGCCGGGCGAGAGGCTTGACACGATCCGACCCTGCGACCCTGACGCTGCTGCTCTAGCTATCAGCCATGCACTGCTGACTGCTGCCACAATGTGCGACCTGTGCTGGCCCACTTGGCGGCCTTCCCGGTCAGTGGTGAGGCGCAGTTCAGAGCTGTCGATGGCGCGATGCCCTGGTCCCACATTGGTGACACGATACCACCAAGTTTGCCGGTCCAAGAGAGAGGCACCGGCGCTGTCCTGAGAAGGTGCATGGTCCCTCTTGACTGCCCATGCGCGCGAGGCTGTGTAGGCATAGCCTCGAGAGTGCCAGCAGCCAATCCGAGGTGACGCGCATTGCGCCAGAAGCGTGCACACGATGGAAGGACACCTTCCTACTGGCCGTACGATCAGGTCGTCACTGAATGCTTGATACTAAGGCCGCGAGCTATGCAGGTGATCAATTGTGCATCATGGCACGGTCAGCTGCGCCGACAGGCTGTCGCAAGGCGTGATAGCATGGCCGCAAGTACGCCGAATTCCCATGAAAACAAGTAAAAAAACTGCGAAAAAGAAAAACAATCCGAAAAAATCGGCGCCTTCGGCGGGCCATGGGACCCCATCTCCCCCCCGCATGGACACCCTCTGGGGCCCCCGCGCCGGCCCAGAGGAGCTATCGGTGCGCTCAACTCTCGCCGGTTCTGCCACAAGAAGCGCTGCTCGAGCACCTCGAGCAGTTTGCAGAATTCGCTAGCCCAGTAAAGCCAAATCACCCGACACCCCACCCTCTGACAGAGATAAAAAAACACTCGTCGCGACGAAAACGGCGACATTATATCGACGACAATGAGGAACGAGTCGGCGTGGCTTCGTATAGTCAACAATCAACAGTGCTCTCAACTCTTATCGCACTGACACTCACTGCGTGCGCTCCCGAATACCTCCGAATACAGCACACCCTGCACAAAATCAGCACCACCCCTCCGCTCTAATCCATGCGTCAGCTCGATCCTGCTCCGATGATAGCTCGCGGCCTAAATGTGCGGCGAGCCAAGCAAATGCCAGCGATGCTCCACAGGCTCATGAGTGCCAACACGGATGCTCGCCGGGCTTGATCCGGCACGTTGACGAGCCGTAGAGGGCCAGCTTCCGGGTAGGCGTCCGGCCATTCGCACGCAAGTATGAGAAGAATGGGAGGCCAGTAGGCGAAAAGAGAGCATTCAATGACGCCGCGCGCGGCCGACGAGGCGATCGCCACGCTAGCTCGGCGCACAAAGCTTTGGAGGTCTGCCTGGTTGCTCGAGCGCGCGAGGCGCTCGCCACGTTGGAGGCTAACGGCAAGACTGCTAGGAATCCAGGCAAGCATGTACGAACAGGCAAACATGAAGTAGATGCCTTGGGTGAATGTTGAGGTCTCTCGAAACCATGCGATTGCGCCCAATAAAAGGCAAACGCCAGGGAGCAACAACAAGAGGAGGTTGGAGTACAGCGTAGTTGAACCACTGACTCGTTGCAACACCTGCTCCTTGAGTTGTGTTCGTACCATGTGATTGAATGCGTCCAACCCATTGATCTCACCTCGCAAATAGATGGCACCAATAGCAGCATAGATCTCGTCGCGGTCAGTTGCACTGTAACAACCAGCCACTCTCACGTCAAACGACTCCAGGCAGCGTTGTAGAGCTATCCGCTGAAGTGCCATGGAGGCTCCAAAGAGGGTGGCGCCAAGGTAGCCGAGGAAATAGAGTACAAAAAGGAGTGCTGCCAACATTGGCATCGAGGATTTCCAGTAATCATCACCCATCAAGACTCTCTCTCCAGTTGGACCGTGCATCGATCCTGTCAGGTCGCCACGGAAAACAAGCATCGCAACCAGCAACATCACGCTCATCCCCACGGCCAATGCTGCCATTGCCACAACAACGACGACAGCTTTGCGCAGCGGCAGGAAAATCACTGGCCTGTTCGGATGGATCGCTCTGTACATTGCGAGCTCGTAGACGCACCAGAGGCGGCTGAAGTAGTGCTCATCCCAGAGCACAACCAGCTGAGAGGACATTGCGACGAACCCAGCCAGGTGCCGGATGCCCTGGGTCTTCAGAGCTCGGTTTGTCTGGTGGATGCAAGCCGCGTCAACAAAGTATGACCGCCGTCGCTGCGCCGCCAGCCAAACAAACACCGACGCGAAGGCGGCTATCAAGCCAGCGACGTACTCGTGACAGGATGCGATGAGAACGCTCGGGTTCTCAGCCGTAAACCGTGTTGGGACGTTTCCGGGTAGTTCCACTGAGCGTTGCAGGTGAGCCATCAGCAGGCTGGCGACAATACCGACGACCAGTGGCACAAGCCCAACCTCGTGCAGAGCGAGAGCCATCCACTTGCTCCAACCCTCCGACCGCCACGCGTGCGAGATGAAGGAGTCGATGGCACAGACAGGGCGCGACCGCTCGTAGAGCCTTTCTCGATCCTCACGGTCCAGCCGATCCGGCAGCTTGGCGAACAGATTGTTGACAGGAGAAAGTGTGCTGGCGATGCTGACGCCTCTCTGGAGCTCTTGCGGCGGATGGAGCGTACTGGCTGCAGCGATGTACTTGGAAACGTTCACCGCCTGCGCTACGGCGGACTCGCTGGACTGCAACGACGCCGGCGAGGTCTTCCTTTCGTGCATCCTGGCCGGTCCTTGGGTCTGGCTAATGCGGAAGCGCTGAGTCCTGCTAATGCCGGGGGGTGCCAGGTGGACGTGTCATGGATCAGGATTCGAATTTTTTCTTTTTTCAGCCGGTGAGGGCAAAAGGAGAAGGTCCCATGCGGTCTTTGTGCAGGGTTCTTTGTGGGTGTGGTCGGCGACTACATGTAGCCGGGGTTGTCCTCCCGATGAGGGGGGACTAGCACTTCCGGTGGAGGGCGCGATTCCAGTTGCGAGCGAGGCGTGGAAGAGGAGCGAGACGGCCGCGAGGCGAGCGATGTCGGCGGGGTCGCAGCGAGAGAGGACGCGCAGGAGGAGGTCCGTGGGAAGGTCGAGCACAGGTCGAGCAGGATGGCGGGGTTGGTCGCGGCGCTGCAGAAGCTCAAGAACGAGAAGGTGGATGAGGACGCCGCTGCGGGCCGCCGCAGGCAGAGCAAGAGGCGACCCCAGGATTCGCCTACGGCTACCCGCCCCCACCCTCAACGGGCGAGGATGGCGACCGACTCCGGTGGAGGTAGGGGCGACGGGGACGAGGGGGGGAGTGACAAGGGGGTGGCCAGGGCCCCGGAACCGGCGGTAGCATCGGCCGTCTCCCTCCTGCCCCGGGCGACGCTGGGGGGTTCGCCATGGGGGTGGCTGATACCACACAACCCGCGGGGCGGTGGGCCGATACCTCTTTGCGGCCGGACCATTGTCATAGGCCGGGAGGGCGATGTCAAGGCCCCGTACAACCCACACCTGTCGAGATGCCACGTCAGGTTGGACTGGGATGGGAGGGGCAGGGTTTACGCGACGCATCTCTCGACGACAAACGCCACTTGGCTTAACCTGGGGCCGATGGTGCGCGGCCAGCAAGTCCTGGTGGAGCCGAGCTGGAGCAACGAGCCTCATCAACCGATGGGCGTCGCCCCGGACGCCCCAATTTTGTTCGTCAGCATCGTACACGCCAGTGCGGCGCGGGCGATGCTTAGGGAGGAACGGATCGAGGGGTGGTGTGGTTGGTCCATCTGCATGGCCCCAGACGCCTACGATGGTGCGGCGGACCCTCCGACGCCACGGACGGTCGGAGCCGCCGAGCTGAGGGCGGGGGGAGGCCGACAGCCGGAGGTCAGAGACGGGACCACCGGACCAGCCGCCGCTGGGAGGGTGCAGGCGGAAGGGTGTGGTGGCGGGACGGCGCCAAAGAGGCAGCGACCTCTGACAGCTGACGAGCGGGGGACGACACCGGCATACCCGTGCGCACGGGCCAACTCGGCCTCGGAGGCGTATTGCCAGTCGTGTGAGATGAGACTGGTGCAGATCGGGGAGACATTCTGCCAAGAATGCAGACCCGTCGAAGCCAGCCCCTTCAGCCGCCGCCTGGTATGCTGTGGAGCAGGCCAGGAAGTTCCGGAGGGGTATGAACCGAAGGACGTGTCGCGCGGCACGTCTTTTGGCAACCCTGTAGCGTTACCTTACGGCACGCACAACAGAACGGCGTATGGGACGGCAGTGGAGGCCTTCGACACGATCTGCGAGTACGTTACGGAGAACGCGGAGGGGGGGCCGCTTCCACGGGGACTCACGGAGTCGGTCTACGCGAACACCCACGCCTGGGCAGGGGGTGGAGAGGACCCCCTCCGCCCGCCGAGGTGCCGTCAACCGGGAGTGCTCCGCCGCCACGCCCGACTGATGAACCCTCGAGACGTCCGAGTGCTCCTCTTCGCGCCGAGGAGGGACGACGTGGCCAGGACGGTGGGCACCGAGGAACTACGGCGGCTGGCATTCGTGGCGGATGGGACGGGGGGGCGAGGGTCAGGCGCGCCGACCAGGTGGGCCCCCACGTGGTATGGAGGCGGGGACCGGCGGACGCTAGCGTGGACTGCGCAGACGACCCGAAATCCTACGCGAAGCCTGAAGCCGCTATGCGGGCGCCAAACAGCACCTGGGGCGAGTATGGTGCAGTGGGCAAGAAACGGGTGAGCCATGCCGTCCTCGGTTTGGCTCTTTCGGTTCTGCGTCCCCGCTTTGTCACGTTGGACGAGCCCGTCATTGGAGGCTTCAGAGGTCCTGCAAACGATTATTTCAATCGAGATGGCCGCATCGACCCCCGCTGCCATGGGCGCGCATGGGCAAAGCTCAGCAGCGGCGCTCCGCCTGGCAATCCGTATGACCGCCTGCTTCGGATACATGATCGATATCGGCGCGGCATGCAGCTAGTCGAGCTCGCAGAGCGCCGCGATGCATGCGCCTTCGAATGGGTTGCGATGGTGCGACCCGACCTAGTCTTTCGGCGGCCGGTGGCGCCGCTGCTTCGGCGGGCGCCGCCGTCGCGAGTCGCGTACAAGCTTGCGGCCAAAAACGACTTTGCGCTGCTGGCGCCACGCAGGAGCGCAGAAACGATCTTTGTCGAGTCCTCGCTGCGATACTGGCGTTGCGAGCAAGTGCGCGCCACGAAGAATGAGGCGCGGCCGCCCCTCGCTCTCCCGACGCTGGCATCGCGTCGGTGCCGCTGCAGCGGTAGCCCGCCGAGGCTGTGATGTACGCCCAACCCCCAACCCCCGCGGCAGGAATGGATCAAGGAGGGGCTCAAGGCGGCGCGCATGAGGGACGGCTTAGCGCAAGTGCTAAGCGACAGGCAGCGGAGGAGTGGCGAAAACTACACCGCCGCTGCTGCTCCGCTCTCGGTGGAGCTGCTGCGCGACGCAAAGCCGCCGTACCGGCCATGCGCCTTGCCTAAAAGAGCGCGACCCTGAGAATAAATAAAACGGACACACCAAACAAGCGGTTGGAGAAGGACCCTAGAAAGACTGTTGAGTATATGAGCGACCCACCTCGAGGGTTGCTCCCGACTCTGGCCTTTTCTGGGTCACGTAGCCACACCTCGCCTCCTTGGTGCGAGTGGCTGCCAGTTCGACTCTGGGGAGGATCGAAAAAGAAAGAAAGAAAACAGACAAGCCAAGGGAGGGATGGGAGGACGGCACGCCGCCACCACACACAGGGATTTTAAGGAGAGGGGTGTGATGCGCTAGCCGTCGCCCACCCTAGGGAGTCTGCCTCTTCCTATCTCTCTTCGCAGTCTCTCGCCGCTTCTCGCTGCAACCTTCATGCCACCTCGCGGTCGTCCCACTCTCGTCGTTCTCTCCCTTGTCATTTCCTCCTCTGTCGCGTCGTTCTCTTCTGCCTCGTCCTGCGACGCCGCCGCCTGCCGGTCCCTTGTTCTCGCGGCTTCTTTCCTTTGGTGAGGATCGAACCTTAAACAAAGACGGTCCGAGAATTCTTTATCTCTGACCCGGGCCATCTGCGCCCCGTAGACCGCGAGCCGCGAGAGCGGTGAGGTGCAGCTGAGCACAGCATCGCGAGCACCAGGCCGGTAAAAATGCCCTCTCGGTTCGTGTCCCTGACCGTGACGCCGGGCGTCGACTGCAAGGTCATCCTGCCGCCCTGCTCCGCGCTCACCCTCTCGAACGCCGCGCTCGCCGCGCAGCCAAAGTCGGCGGCGTTTGGCCGCTGCGTGCTGGAGTGCGACCTCGCCACTCACTCTTTTGTGGTGTGCTCGCTGCTCACGACGGGCGTGCGGCAGGCCGCGCCCGAAATCACGATCACCAACGACCCAGACGAGCCCGCCTGGTTCTTCCTCAAAGTGCGCGCGCCGCTGTGCAGCAAGCTCCTCCGCACATGCTCTGCGGCTCACCCTCCCGCACGCTCTGGCCTCGCAGGCGAGCGGCCCGCACTCCTTCCACGTGCTCGGCCGGCTCATCGAGGACAAGGCGACACGCCGGTCGTCGGCCGCTGCGGCGCGGAAGCAGGCGCCCCCCCCGCCCGCGCGGGAGTTTGCCCGCACCGCAGCAGCCCCGGCGGCCCCTGCTCCCGCCCCGCAGAGTCGCCTCGGTGGTCCCTCCGACATGATCGAGGTGCTGCTCCCGAGCGGCGACGAGGCGCTCGGCTTCGAAGCCCCGTCCGACCCCGACTCGGAGGAGTTCATCGAGTACATGCAGGCGCCCCAGGCGCCCAAGCTTCCGAGCCGAGCCGCGCCCACCAAAGCAGCAGCGAACCCCTCGACCAGAGGGCGAGGCG